CTTGGATGGGGGAGAACCGATATGGGTCCCCAAACGATCCCACACTTGTGGTATCGTCTAAGCCATGCCAGAGTGCTTAAACTGATATATATTTAACAATTATTCCACGAGCGCGCGTTGGATATGAGATGATAGATAGCCAACGAGGCGCGTAGCGCCGAGTTGGCTATAATCATCTCATATCCAACAAACGCGAGTGGAATAATTGTTTTATTAAAAACGCTGCATTAAATTATTAAATTTTATTAAATTTTTAGCTCTCTTTTAATTTTAAGCTGACACGTACGTCTACCATATTTGTAGATTATGGTAGATTGGCTCATATACCATAATGGCTAAGCCAATTAAAAGTCTTGAATTGCATTATCCAATGATCTAGTTTTTAATAATAATTGTTACTGAACAATTCACTGGAAGTGAAACTAGTTTTTCATTGACAGCCTTCCAATGTCAGAACATCATTCCACTGGAAAATCACTTGATCAAATCACACAACGCTGTTTTTATTAAAATTGAACACTTAAGTCAGCAAGCTGGTTGCAAAAAAAAAAAAAAAAGATTAAATCTATTATTTTGCAAACTTGCCCTTGAGGATATGATTTATATAACTGAATAACTAATATGGAGCTTTTCCTTGTAAGAAAGTGAGCCAAAAACAATTTGCTTTCCCAGCAGAGAATTCAAGTTGACCCTGACAAATGGATGGCAACTTTTATAGTAGGTTGGAATGGTCAAATGGAAACATCTTTACTGATCACTTACTCCTGCTAACCTAAACTTTATGTGTACCCCTGCAGCAGCATCTAAAAGCTCAGCCTAGAAAGAAAGAAAGAAAGAAAAATAGAAACTGAACATTCAAGTTAATTTTCAAGCTCAAGTTCAGGCTTTTTACTCATCACCAAAATCTTAACAAAAAATAGTTTTCAAACATAAAATAAAAAAAGTAACAAGAAGACCTCAAGAGACCCTCGAGCCTATGTCAAGATGATTATTAATTTATTCATAAATTATTATTATCATCAGATGGTGACACTGAAGAGCATCACAAATTTTGACAGGTTGTCTTTTAAATTGAGTGTTTGTTGAGTTTTTGTTGCTGTTGATTTTGATTTGATCTTGTTCATTACCAGTACCGTACTGTTCATTACCGGTACCGTACTGTTCATTACCGGTACCGTACTGTTCATTACCGGTACCGTACTGTTCATTACCGGTACCGTACTGTTCATTACCGGTACCGTACTGTTCATTACTGGTACCGTACTGTTCATTACCAGTACTGTACTGTAGATGACAACTGTCAACCAATTCTGTTACTCTTTCACTTTCAATCAGGACAAGTTAACATACCTCTCTTGGGTTGATACATTTCAACATTGAAGATGGATCTCCCCTACATTTGAAGTTAATCAAATCTCTGTAGTATCTGTACACTTGGATGTCCTGAACAAAAATTTAACAGACAATTAAACATATCCACAGTGTCAATGACAAGAACATTTTAAGCAAAGTCTTGCTATGTTTTGTAGCAATTAAGTTTTGCCAGTATTATAACTGTTACTTAAAATATTATAACAAAAATAACGAAAACTGACTTGCCCGTACAAACAACTGTAAATATTTCACAGAAGAATAAGGAGTACTATCCCTTGATTGCATGAAACCTGACCAAGAAAAAGTAGCAATTTTATTTGTAGGCTCCCATCAAGCTCAAAGTTTCTTCCAGTTTTTTATTTATGCCTCCTCCCAAATCTAATCTTCAGTTAAATCCATAATAGATTAAATTGAGAAAGAGATTTGGGAGTTATTAATAAAAGTTATTCTTTATTCAAAAGAAATCTTCTCAACTCTTTACACCTTATCATCAGTTTGTAAATTCTCCATACTCATCTCTGTATAACTCCTAATATTGTACTACAAAGGAGAATTTTTCTAATGATAAAGAACTTCTTGAGTTTGCAATCATTTTGTTTATATTCTTGTTACCTACATGTTTAATTCAGGGGTGATATTGTAAGGAGAAATTCGATGTTAGTTACTCTTAGGGGTTAAAGAATTTAGTCAAACCACCAGGAAACTGATACTGCCAAAACCTTTTACCTTTTCCCCTTCAAAACTTTAAAACTTGAAACTTAACACTCTCTAAAAACATTTTCAATATCCAATTTGTCTAGGTCACTTGCACTAATTAAACTCCTCCCTTCTCTCATCAGCCTTGGAAATCATCGTCATTACCACTAAACACATATTTATCAGAATTAAAAAAGGATCATTTTGCTCACTATGTGTTTTCTCCAAGATCTCTGTATAACCCTTGCTGCCTGTTCTCTGTCAATAACTTTTTTTCTCTCCGCTGCTTCTGAATCAGCTGTACTGACCCGTTGCTGGACACCTGCAGTTGGTGATAATCCTCCATCTGTGGTAGGTGGGGGAGGTCTGGGTACCAATGGTCCCAGTGATATAGAACGCCACCACTTTTGGATGAGAGTGGCACAAAATTCTGTGTATGACATCAGTTGACATAACGGGCCTTGCTGTGCCACAGTGTTTTCACAGTATTCTTTATATTTTTTCTTTGTGATTGGCAAGGCATTGGTAGGAATTTGGTTTCTCTATGAAAATTTGAGAGGACATTTTTCAATTATTAAAATAACTATGATGATAACGCTTGCATAGCTTCACAATAATGATAAAAATAAATTTTAGATTTGCAAGCAAACTTTTTAAAGACATGTTTTAGCATGACTTATATCAATATCAGTTCAATGTGTTGAACTGTTGACTTTGTAATTTGCACCTTACATGTAAATACATTATAACTTTAATTGCATGTTTACAGTGTTTGAAATTAATAGTGTTACAAGGTTGAAGCAAACAGTTATTATAATTATAGTAATTATAACAGTTATAATGAAAGAAAGGTCTGCATGAACCATTAACTTTGCCTGCACTAGTCTCTGTGGGACACACTCAGTAAATTATAAAAAATAAACAAACTAAAACCCCATTTACACCAAAGCTTAGACATATAAGCTGTTTTGTTATCCATGGTTTAAAATTGTTTTCATCAAACTATCTTCTGAAACTGATGTTTGTCAACTTCAAATTAAGCATATTGAAAATACAGGAGGGACCTTCTCGAAAATCAGTTTTTTCCTTCACTGTTCCTGATTTTCATTTTTTCAGGGTATTAGTTACTTGTCAAATGCCATAATGGATAGCATGCTTAACGCACCCCCTCAGTTCCTCTTGACTAGGGTATATAATTAGTAATTTTCAGTCACAAAAACTGGCTCTATGACATAAATTATGTTTTGAATGGTGGACAAGATGAGAAGTTGCAGACTAATCTTTACAGACAAACTGTTATTGTGGTTAACATGTAAAAATAAGTTGATGATTTTTTTTTTTTCAGTAGATGCTGCCTTCATATGAGCCTCTCTATGGGTGCGTACGAACGTCAATTTCGTTGCGCTTTTTTCATCAAATCGTCAATTTTTCAACGAAATCGTCGCTTTTGGTCGTTTTCATTTCTAGAATTGTTTTGCGTGAGAGCTTTAATGACCTGATATTGGTAACTGAAAGACATTGTCGCTTAGTTAAAAAAAAAATGACACGTGATTTTATATAACACTGGACATTCAATTGTCATTGCAGTTGAGAAAAAGATGGTATGATTGTCAAAAATTGTTCAAAACCTATTCGTGGTTCTAGTTACTGATGCTACTTGAATGATATGTTGTCACGTCTCCCTTACAACTGGCTGCACTAATGACACTGTTGATCAGGGTACCTTTTTAGTAGTAAGCCATGTCATCAAAGTTTTGCTTCCTCACACCCCTTTCTCTATGGCTTCGAATTTCGGCAATTCCTTCCGGGGGATGAAGAACAGCATTTGCTTCAAGTCCTCCATCAACACCATCAAACTCACTATCTAAAATCTGTTCAAGCCCCAGGTTGTCATCCTCCAGCTCTGCTTCGGTTACTTCTGCAATTGCAAAAGCTGTTGGATTTCGTTTGTTTATCCAGTTTAAAATGCACCAATAACACAAGTCCGAGATGTACACAATATCACTTTGGTTGCTATCACCAGCCACGTTCGCGTTTATGTCATTTCCCGCCAGGGGAAACAAGATGCCCTTTTTTAAAACCATCTCCAATCCCACAGCCACAAAGCAGCCAAACTCTTCATCTATTGTCTCAGTTGGAGACAACCACATCACATCAATAGCCATCTCATTCGGATTGTCAGGAACATCTGATTCAGTCATCACAATGTGATAGTTTGCTTTTGAAACCTGACTTGGTGCATTTACTTCAAATCCAGGCTTGACAGCTAAAAACTCTCCCTTCTTGAACAAGACTGGCAGTGAGCTATCTACCTCAACACTGACCAGTGGTTGATTCTCCTCTACAGTCTGCTCTCCTTCAAAATGCATTCTGTTGCAGCCTACCTCAGCTGGATTTGTCTCTTCTGCACTCGCAAACGATAGCAGAGTAGCAGCATCATACTTGCTAAGGTCTCGGACAGATCGCTGCCAAACACCCCCACAGTATTGCCTCTGCCATTCTTGTAGTAACTGAAGATCTTGAGCTGGCAGTGTTACTATGGCGGTTTTTCCGGCTGTATTAAATTTGAATAATGCATTGAGGCTGCTGAATTTGGATAGTGGGCTGTCTTTCGAGTGTAGTAAATGAAAGATGTATTTGTTAGCTTCTTCAAAGTCTACTGTATGGTAAACAATAAACAATAAACAATTGAGCATATTGTAACAAGTATGGCATGGGATACTGTTCCCACATGCTCGAAAAAAAGTGCTTCACTACCAGCGAGCAGAAGGCCTGCATATAATCAGGTCTTACATTGCTGAATACGGCCTTTAATGACTTCAGGGTGTCTAAAACCCAGGTCACTGCTTCAACTGTGATGTAAGCTGGTGAACCGTGTGGTCCTTCAGGACACAAGTTTGGTTTCTCAATGTGTTCCCTAATCCTGCAGACAAGGTTTTCGAAATAGTCTTTAACACTGTTCATGTCGCTGATTACCTCATCAAAGTTTACGTCTTGCTTGATCATAACCACATTTCGTTTGTCCCAGTGGACTGAGAACACCTGAAACATTTTTCGTATGTTTTCTAAGTAAGTAGCCAATGATGATGACCTTCCACTTGCTGTTGTAAACTGACCATCTCCTGATATCACCGTGACCTCTCCAGTTGGGGTCAGTTGCTTTACTTGATTGCATTTTCTGTCTGTGAAGATCACATTATGTCAACTGAAGGCTATGCCATGTGCCACGCCACATTTATCATTCGCCATTAATTTCTGTGGTGCAGTTCCACCTAAAGCGATTCAAGGTCATACAAGACCACGAGGCAACAGGTCAGCAGGGGTCATCCACATCGCTGATAACAATGGTCATCAATCAATCGGACTGAATGATCTACTAATCATGATCAAACATCAACAGTCACGTACACGGACCTTTTTAGATCCTTTCTAACCTTTTCTTTCTTTTATCAAGTACACTAATTTCCACATTTCAGGTTTGATTGGGGATCAAATAACTTATAATTTTCATATTTAATTTTTTTAGGTCTGACTGACTAATATTTTGTCTGAATGCAATAATTTCCAAACTGTCGCTTCATCGCTTCAATCTCTGAGATCTTTGTTTCATCAATAGCGATCGTCACATCTTTGATTTCGTCAAAAATACCCATAGAGAGGCTCTCATATGCCATTGCACAGTCAAGAACCAGATAAAATTTCTAAAATATACTTTGTAGACAAACTCTGCCCCACCTTGAAGATTCCTGAAGGTTGTGTTGTGGTATGTGGATCCATTGGAGTAATGGTCCTCACATCACTGAGCCGTGATGGACTCTGCACAAATCTACTGCCAAGGGCTGTCGACTTCACGCTTGCATTTGGATGGAGAATTCCAAACAGCTTACATCTGTATTTAACATGAAAACATGGAATAAATAATGACGGAATATTTTTGGTAAAGGTGGGAGTTTGTCATCTGAAAATTGTTTTGACTTGCAGACTTGGCTAATCACAGTACATGCATACACGTGAAAAGCAATCATTTCAAAGGTGTATTCTACATAGAAATGTTATCTCACCTTGTAAAGTAACCTCTCCAAATTCGCTGAATTTCTATGCTGGCAGCTATTTTTACATCCTCTTCATCTGTCCCTCCTTGAATTATTTCCTAATGAAAAATTTGTAGATATTCACAAAAAGTAGGCAGATCATATTTTGAGCTGTGGAACGATCACGATCTAGGGAGTACGTGGTATTATTTCTCAAAGGCGTAAAAGACGAAAAAGAATTCACATCCGTTAAGGAACATCTATCCAAGGATCTATGAGTATATTATTGGGTGTCATGAGAATCTTCGCCCCTAATCAATTCTAGTAAAAGATCTGTATCATGAATTTTTCCGCAATTTTCTAGCATCAATGTCTTCAATGAGGTCCTGAAGGTTCCTGCATCGATCTTCAAACCGTGAAACAACGTACAGCTCCACCTATTCTTGGCTCTAATCAAGGCTTGCAACTTTTCATTTCAAACTACATCTAAGTGGATAACAAACTTACCCATCTTTCTGCTTTTGTTCCCAAAGCAAACTTTACTTCTCTTGAAACAGATCCTGCAATGTGTTGAATAAGGGAATTTTCTAAACTAAAGTTGAAAGCAAGTATAACAGCTCACTTATTGGCGCTTATCAGCTTACTTTAGTAAAAACTGTAAAAGACAGATAAGTCTTCTTATTGTGATTCCTTGCTTTATGGAAATTGCAATTAAAAAATCCCTTTCATTATTTATTTAGCACGGCGAGAACAAACATAACGTTGGAAATTATGCACAAAAACAATAAGGTAAGTTATGTATATGTGCACGATCCTTCGCAGTTAAGTTATGTAGTCACCTGGTAAACCAGATTTGTGCAGTATCCAGAGAGCATCTTTATGATTCAATCTTACAGACATGGTGGGTATTTTTAGCTCTATTGCACTAAATGATCAAAATTTAACATCATTTTGAGTTTACGGGGGAAAATCTACCCTAATGCTGCAGTCAAAGTTTAGTCATTTCGACGCAAATAATAGATTCTATTGCGCCGTGGCAACGGAAAACCGCTGATCGTTCTGTGAGCAAACTGTGGTCGAAGAAGCTTTTAAAACTGTGTAGGGTAGGGTTCATATCTATGGGAACATTCGTAACAGAAATCAATTTCCGGACCTTTTCACGATATAAGAACGTCCAGAACACAAGCAACCGAATATCTTTATTAAGTTATGGAATTTCAATTGCTAAAAATTTGGTATTTGACTTGCACTGATTTTATGACGAGAAGCAATAAAAAACCCTCACACCGCCCCGCCATCCCCAGCTTCCTTGACAATCTGTTGTCACGCAATCTTCATTACTTGAGACTCAAAACAAACCCGAAGTCCTGTCATTAAGATAGGGTTCTAATTTGATTGCCAACCTTAAATATCGAGTGCTGATCATCTGCTGTAGTTTTTGGTAAGAAGCATTAACAAGGTAACGTTCAATTCAGGAGAAACAAAAATAACGTCAAAACTTTCGCTTTTCACTTGAAATAATTGACAGCTGGATTTCTTGTTCTCTTTTTGTTTTCGCCTTCGGTTCTTTACCCTGAACGGAGATTTTCCCTCTGTAGTCAAGCACGCATCTTTTTTAAGGCTTGTCGTGGAATCCTAGTATCTGATTTCCTATTTCTGACTTCTTTTGGGGTACGACAAGTTGACTCAGCGGGGACTAGGAAAGGGTGGGATCCTTAACAAATTTCATGTAAGCAAGTCCTCACCCCGTTACAGGTCTCAGAAGGTAATGGTTTTCCTCAAACTACCTTGCGTTTACCGAAGGGGCCCCATGCTTCTTGTGTTAGTTGCTACATCACTATCAGATGAAAGGACCTGAAGTTCTGCAAGATTAATTTCCAAGTGTTTTCTTTAGGTCAGTTTCCATCACTATCATACAATGACTTCAAGTCTTCAAATTAAGAGAGGAGTTCCAGAAACAAACGACTTGCTTCACCTTAGCAATGTGATATCATCCAGTTGGATGAAATTAGCAGAAGTATTAGGATTTCATGAAGCAGAGCTGGCTCAACTGACTCTAGAAAATTCTGACAGCTTTGAACAGTGCTATCAAATGCTTGTGAGGTGGTTACGCAAGAGAGGTGCGCAGGCTAATTATGAGGTGCTGGCTAGAGCCCTGAGACACCCCTTTGTGAACAAACAAGATCTTGCTTTACAATTTTGTTACAAGACATAAAACTTCACTCTGTAGGTTGTCATCACTAAATTTAAAAAAAAGTACAAAAATAAAAACTTTCAAGATAATAGATGAATAAACAATAAAGTTAAGTTAACCCACCAAGTCCTCTTAGAATACAGCACCATTCTCAACATCTGTATTAAATTGAAGATTCAGGGGATTTCACTTTTGCACTAAAAATGAATTCACACTTGATAACCTAAGTAGTGTATGGAAGTCTTCATTAAAAAAATAACCATGGAAAAAAGACTTAAAAATGATGACCAAACATCAACAAAAGGTATTTGATCTCTTTATTTATTTAAAATTCTCTCTTTTTCAGACTGTTCTAAAGATAATAAATAAAATTGTTTCCAAGTTTACATAAAACCACACATGTACAATTTCCTCTTCTGCTTTCCAATACCTTATTTACAAGTTGTCCAGAGGAAATCTTAATTAACAAAATAGTAGCTCTTTCATGTAGAAATGATGGTAATAAATTAATTTTGAGAAATGGGCTGTGTTCCATGGCTACTATCTTCTTTAGCAACCTTACTCAATAAACTAGACAAGCAAAAAGCTTCTCAGGATTTCTTGGGGGGTGAGGGGAATTCTTACAACCTCACCACAGATCAGTATCCAATTTCCCACAAAGAAATGTCTCTCCTGGCTATTTTGTTTCCATCTATGCAAGAACAAAGTGCAAATGATAAGTTTGACAGAGAGAAAACCTTATGCATATGTCTTGGTTTGCCACTACTTTTCCTCACTCAGACAGATGCTTACATCGAAAGTTCTTTAATCCCAACAATACCCCATGCAGATGTGTTTAAAAACATTTTGTATGGGATGAGATTAAGGATATTATGGTGCATGGTTATTCTTGAATGATATACTACACACCACTTGTGAATAAAACTGGTTTGAAGGTAGAGATCTACATGCACTGTTCCAATCTACTTCAGTATAGCTGTGTAACTGCAGAAAATAAATTTGTACACAAGAAAATGCAGTTTGTTACTGAATTTCTCAGCAGCTACTTCAAAGAAATCCATCTGATGCATGTAGTTTGATGTGTGTTTATCTCAGTCTCCGTTGAAAAGACTGGTGTAAGCACCACACTGGTTAGCTACTAGGTGACTCCAATGGTACAAGGTCTGTATGGTGTGACTTTACTCTGTGAAGCAGGTGCTGCCCAACGGGGACAAACTGGCTTTCCCACATTTCTCTCAACATATCTGGAAGATTTGATTCCACAGCATCTAATTCACTTGAATCAAGAGCTATATCCTCATCTGAATAACAATTCAACAAAAATTTACTTCATTGATGATTATTTTACCGTATCCTATGATGATTGCAACAGTACCCAATTTCAGAGAGTGCTTAAAAGTCAGGCTCAATTTTTTTTATCAAAATATCCAAACCTTCAATTCATCTTTTCAAATGAGCAATGTTTCAGGCCCATCCAAGGACTAAGACACTACGTTTATTACCCTCCCTCTAGATGGAATTCCAGTTCATTGCAAGGTTACCCCCCTGCTTTTCAACAGGCTTCCCTGACAATTTGCAGTTGCCCATTTAAACTCCTGGGTGGAGAGAGACACTGTGAAATTAAAGTGTTTTGCCTTAGAACACAACAAAATGACCCAGTCAGATCTTCAACCCAGGCCTCTGAACCCAGAGTCAAGCACAATACCCATTAGGTCAATGTGTCTCCCACACAGTAAAGCCCATACAGTCTTATAAAAATATAAAATTCATGATCCTTACCTAAATATTGTGTAAGAATATCTATTAATTCTAGTGCTTCCTGGTCACCAAATGTTTCTGATGAGCTGGTTATCTTGTCACTTTGGAATGAGGAGAGAAATGGTCATTACAAAAAGCTCAGTTGTGTACAAACAAGGCAAACAAAATTTCAGGGAGTGCTTTGAACTATAAAGAAATACAAATGTTACTGATGGACCTACCTATAGTTCCATAGGATCTGGCATACCATACTTGACAGCTGCCAATCATGTTTACCAAAGTCACGCAACACATCGACCAGTCTAAGAGGTAAAAACAGGTTACTTCAAATTGGAGATTATTAAAAAATATGTAAAAGATACCAATACATGACTGCAACTACACAAGTATAGACTAATTTGAACAACTACTTACTTTTTAATTCCATCTTCCTCTTTCAGCTTTGGTTTGATATTCTCATCAATCATCAGATTGATAAGCACACCACAAGCTGTAAACACTGTTTCCCTCTCGCCAGCATCCAATAGAGCAATCATGATTTCATCAACTAAATAGTAAAAAGTAGCAAAAAAATGATGACAAAGAGATCTGTAAGAACTTTGACAACTATTGTAGACAGAAAGGTGAAAAATTCTCTCTTACACTTATGGTACATAAAATGAGATGTCAACCTTTACCTTTTTGCTCTGCCAATAAAGTTCTCACTTCTTTTGTTCGAGAAAAGTTCCCAAACACACGAGTTGCTTCCACCATAGCATCCATGTTGTCTGGCATTAACAACGAAAGAAGCACTACCACAAAATATGAGAAAAAATTTTAATCAAGACAAGGAAATTATGCATCATACTTAAAGATCAACAACCAGAGACTTGGAACTACATATTTTAAGGCCCTCTCAACAAAAGCACAGACCAAGTAAAAAAAAACCAACAACAACAAAAAAAAAACACATTTAATTGTTTGAATCCAATTTACACAGCACAAATCACTTTGAATCCTTGACTAAAACTGTCACTATTCAAGGCTGTGCTCTAAGGAAAATTAAATGAAGCCCAGTGCTCTGAAACTGTGAAATCCAGGGTGCCCGGCACATGCTTTGTATGAAAAAACTAAAATTCTGAGTCACCCATGAGTAAAAGTAAGGTGCCAGGGTCCAGCGGGTGCTGCTAGACCACAGCCTTGATATTTTCAGAGTCTTTGATTTCCAAAAGTAAATTTAGGGAGTAAGTTTCTAAAGAAACTATGGAACTGTGATGCTGCATTGGGGGGAGGGGGGGGGGTAGGTTACTGACAGAGAAAGTTTCTAAAACAGACATTTTGAGTGTTAACCCATGGTCAAGATGTATAATTTGTTCTAACAAAGGGCCAAGGCTTGAAAAGTCAGCTTTAGAAGCTCTTAACAGTGGTCAATTTATAATTATTATCAACATAACTGATGAAAATTAATTAAATCATCCTTTGATTTCAAAAAGTTAACTCACTCTCCGTAATCTCAACTTGTCTCTGCTGTACAACACTTTCAGCACTATTGTAAAATGACAAATTGTTCAGAGTTGAAACTGTGTTCAGAACAAGTTCTTCACTGACATGTGCATCCTTTACATCTGCAAACAGAAAAGAGGAACAGTCGCGACATCTGCATATAGAAAGAGGAACAGTTGCGAGACTGCCTTGTTATATCTGACTGAGAGCTGGAAGCACTCATTGGACAATGGGGAGTGTGTTGGTGTGTTGTCAACAGATATGAGTAAGGCGTTTGATTGTCTGTTCCCACCACTCATGCTGGCTAAACTAAGAGCATACAGTTTTGATGATGTCAGCCTCAAACTCATGGCATCATATTGTGAAAATCGCCAAGCAAGAGTGAAGTTAGGGAACACGACAAGCGGATGGAGGAAGGTGGTAAGAGGGTGCCCTCAAGGCTCTTCTCTTGGGCCTTTGATGTGGAATCTTTATCAGAATGATCTGACTTATGTAATGAAGTTGAATATCTCCATGTATGCGGAATGATCACCAGTTTTTCGGAGCAAATAAAGATGTCCAGTTAATCCAAACAAGATTACAGGAGTGCAGTTGCAGCAACAAGTTGGTATAAAGAGAACTGTTTACAGGGAAACTTTACTAAATATGGTAGCATGCTCATTAGCAAGCAAAAAGATGCCAATACCAATATTGACATAGACGGTAATAGAGTTTCCCACTATCAGAACATTAAATTACTAGGTGTAGGCATTGATTCTCAATTGACTTTTAAAGTCCATATAAGTGAGATTTGCAAAAAAGCTAGGCAGAGAGTGGGAATAATGACAAGGTTGTGCAACTTGATACCAAGCACTGCTAAGCTGCAGCTGTATAAGGCTGCAGTCTTGCCCTATTTGACTTACTGCAGTACTGTATGGCACTTTTGTAGGGGAAGTGATGCAAGAAAACTGGAGCATGTAAAGGAGAGGGGTCTTAGTGCAGTTTTCCATGACTGGAACACTAACTATAGGCAGTTGTTAGAATGGGCTTAATTGCCCACCCTAGTGAACCGTAGATTGCAAGATATAGCGACCATCATGTATAAAGTAAAATTTAAGCTAGCACCAAGCTATATACAAGATTTATTTTCAGCAAATCACACAGTGTATAACTTAAGAGTTAAAGAATTTACTATTCCAAGATTTAACTCTATTAATTATGGCAGGCATTCCCTTAGGTATTTAGGACCTGTGCTATGGGCTAAGCTACCTTCCCGTATTAGGACGTTGAATTCACTAGAGGGTTTTAAGAGGGCAGTTAGAGGAATGGATTTGAAAATGTTAATGGACGATGGTGGCTGTGTGGGCTGCTTGGTTTGCAGTGCATGATTCTTAGTTATATCTTA